TTGCCCAGGGAGGCTGTGGCTGCCCCACCCCTGGCACTGTTCATTCCATTCCAGGTTGAGCCTTGAGCAACCTGCTCTGGTGGGAGGTGAGACACCCCCAGGGCAGGGGGTTGGGGCTGGATCATCTCTAAGCTCCATTCCAACCCCTGAAATTCTGTGGTTCTATGAAGTTTATTTAAAACCTGCTCAGAGTTGTTTTAGTCAGAGTGCACTGTCCTTAGAACAGGCCAGAAACACCTCTTGCCTGCTGCATGGTGAGATCTCTCAGCTGTCCTAACCTTAGCTGTGAAATTCAGCTCCAAATCTCTCTCCATGGGTTTCCATTTAGATACAGCACAGTGGCACTTGCAAGAAAGCTTGGAAATGTAGAATGAATCCATTCCTGACCTGTCTTAACTTCTTGCAAGATCTCATTTTCAACACTCACGCAGACACACTTTTTTTACTTATTCAGACTATTTCTTGCCAACTAGGTGGAAGAAAAAGCAAAGTTTGATGGTATTTTTGAAAGCCTTTTGCCAGTAAATGGTTTACTTTCAGGAGACAAAGTAAAACCAGTACTGATGAATTCAAAGCTACCTCTCGACATCCTTGGAAGGGTAAGTCAAACTCTTTGGGTTTAGCTTCTTTTATTTGCAGTGTTCAATATTTAACTGTAATTTATCCACCTAGATCAGGGTTTGGCTGAGATGTTACATCATGTGAGTGCTAGAAAGCAAGAACATGGAGGCTCTGAAGTCTTTCACTCAGAAAGAAGAGTAATACTAGTAATTTCAGCCCTAGAGTAGATTGTCTTATCTCTATTCATTTTAAGAGCTGGAGATTTTGGTTTTGGTTGTTTGAAACCAAGAAAAAGCTTTCCTAAGCTGTAACAGCTTTTTATAGCATTATATTCCACTGTTTTGTCATTTTTACAACTAGGAGTTATTAGACACAGCATTAAATCCATCCACTGTTTGTACAGGAGAGCACTTGGAAACATCCTCATTTATTGTAGCTGTCAAGTTGTCAAGTGGGTTTTGTTCATGTGTGTTTATAAATACTTCCAAGATTGGAGTTTAGTCCATCCATTGCACATTGGCAAGGGTAACAAATCTGAAAGTGCTTTTCTGCTCCCCCTTAAAACACCCTTAAAACATGTTTTGCATGTTGTTGTGCCTGAGATTGGGTAAATTCTATGTCAGAGCTCTATGTGTGTTATGCACTTGTATCTCCTCAGGAGGAACTGCCACTTTCTCTGTGTTATCCACAAAATCTGAAGTATGACTTGGTTTAATTCTCTACTTGGAACACTGTGAATTCCTCAGGCTTGAATTTGGGGGTTTAATCTTCTTGTCACAACAGAAATTCAGGAGGCTTTTGTATCTTCCAGAAAAGTTTATGGTCAAGTTAGGGGATTGAGGCAATGGAAAAGGACTTAGCAAGGAGCTTGAATTTTCACAGGGCTCCAGTGGTAAAGTTGGGAGGAGTGCCTAGGGTGGTTGAGCCTCAGTTTTGGCTTTCTGTCACTCTGCTGTAGTGGCTCCAAGTCACAGTAGTGATTAAACAGTGCTAGCTGGTGGCTGAGTTTGGAGTACACAATATTTGGGATCCCAAATCTTTGTTTCATTGACTGTACTTGGCCTAATTATGAACTAAAGTTGATACATCCTCAAATTCCCATAGAAAAGTCAGGGAGCCAGGGGAAGCTGCTCATAGTTGTTTGACTGAAAACTAAAACTAAACATCTAGGAATGGAATGGGAATTAGAAATGCATTGACTTTTCTTAAACAGTCCAACTTGCTTGCAGGAAATTTGGACAATGTGCTGGTCCACACCCTCTGGACAGCTCTGAAAGCACCTCTGAGTGCCTTTAGTCAGCTTGATGACTCCTTGGTTGCATCATAGAAAGATGAAAAACCTGCCTGTGTTGCAGCCAGAATTGTCAGAGTCAGGGTTGATTCACACTGTCAGAAAGCTAATCCAGGCTGTTTCATCAGGGAATGTTTAGCTAGGTCTAATATAGCTCCTAGGATCTTCACCCAAATCTGTTCAGAGTCTTCAGGGAGCATGTGAATGTGCTGAGTGCACAAATGTGACTTGTGCTCTAAGTCATTGTTCTTATCTTCGTTGCTGCAGGTCTGGGACCTCAGTGATATTGACAAAGATGGGCACCTGGACAAGGATGAGTTTGCTGTGGTGAGTTGCTTTAAATTCTTAGGTCACAGCCTAGTTTGTCTGCTAGAGCAAACAGCTCTTTTCCTCAAGAGCTTTGCAGCTTTCTCTGCTGCAGCCAGCTGTTCCAATCTGAATGGTTCACATGGAGCTAAGGCATGATCTGCCTCAAATCCATCTGACTTCTGCCTATGTCATCGAGATGAAACTTGTTGGAAGTACATTCAAAGTGAGCTGCTCTGGTTTACATCTCTCATCTTACTGTCTGTGTTTCAGCAGTAGCACAAGAGGGCACAGACTCAAGCTCTGCCAGGGGAGGGTTAGGTTGGAAATTAAGAAGAGATTTTTTACAGAGAGAGTGATCAGGCACATTCCAATATGTGCTGCCCAGGGAGGTGGTGGATTCACCATCCCTGGAGGTTTTCAGGGTGAGACTGGATGTGGCACTTAGTGCCATGGTCTGGTAACCACAGTAGGGTTGGACTTGATGATCTTGGAGGTCTTTTCCAACCTGGTTGATTCTATGATTCTGTGACTGACACTGGAAGATCCTGTTACTTCTTCTGCTAACTGTGACTGTTGTCTGACCTTTTTGCCTTTGCAGGCAATGCATTTGGTGTATAGAGCTCTTGAGAAAGAGCCAGTTCCTTCACTATTGCCTCCTTCTCTCATACCACCTTCTAAAAGAAAGAAGACTCCAGTCTTTCCTGGGGCAGTTCCTGTTCTCCCTGCAAGTCCTCCCCCAAAAGATAGTCTACGTTCCACCCCCTCCCATGGCAGTGTCAACAGCCTGAACAGCACAGGGGATTTGTCTCCCAAGCACAGCATCAAACAAGCACAGGTACACAACTCTCTTTCCTTTTTGTGGCAGTAAGCTGCAGGAAAAAATGAACCTGTGTTTTGATTTCTGCCTCATGTGAGCACTTGTGTTTGGGTGATTTGGGTAGAAAGGATGAAGTGAGAATGGTAAGACTTGGAAGAATGGAAGGAGAGCAGGTGAATGGAAGCAGAACAGGTGAATCTTAGTCAGTGTGACCATGAGGTAGCAAATCTTACACTTTTCACAGAAAATGAAGACATTTTCTATGTAATGGATATAAATTGAAAGAGGTAAATTTAGGTGAGATATTAGGAAGTTTTTCCCTGTGAGGGTGGTGAGACACTGGCACAGGTTGCCCAGGGAGGCTGTGGCTGCCCCAACCCTGGCAGTGTTCATTCCAGGTTGGCTGAAGACTTGAGCAACCTGCTCGGGTGGGAGGTGTCCCTGCCCAGGGCAGGGGGTTGGGGCTGGATCATCTCTAAGCTCCTTTCCAACCCCTTAACACCCTATGATTCTATGATTTTATTCATGTATCTACTCCAGTACCAAAGAAATCATTAATCTACCCTAGCAGGAGGACTCAATATGCCTAGTTGGGTCTGTATTTCCAAAAAGTTAATGCTTTCCAACTGGTGAAGAGCTGTACATCAGTGTTTTTATTCAGCTCAAAAATACTAAGGTAAAACATGCAGTGAAAACACCTATTTAGAAGTCAGATTGGACTGTGCCAGATGCTCAGCACATCCAACTCTGAACTGATGTCCTGCACTCAGTGTGTTGATAAAGACTGTTTATCTTCTGTTGAAATCTCCCTCTGTGTTTTGCAGCCAACTGTGAACTGGGTAGTACCAATGTCTGAAAAAGTGAGATACGACGAAATCTTCTTAAAAACAGACACAGACATGGATGGGTTTGTGAGTGGCCAAGAAGTAAAGGACATTTTTATGCATTCAGGTCTGTCTCAGAATCTCCTAGCACATATATGGTAAGAATTCTCTAGTTGCTGTATTTTTGTCACTTGCTGATCTGGGATCAGAATATCCAGTCAGAATTGGGATCTTAACCTGTTTTACTTGTCCTGTTGCCACACTGTGGAGAATGAAGGGAGAAATAAACACTCCCTTTGCTTTTCTGGGAGTAGGGAATAGGTCAGTCTGTGAATTGTGATTGTCTTGTGAAGTTTTGGTACTCATAAGTATTTTCCCAGAGTAACACTGCTCTGTTCAGTTAGATATGGCTGATAAAATCCTGCTCTGTTCATGGAACCCTCACTAGAATAAGCAAACTGAGTCTGAATCAAAAGGAAATTACATATATATTTGTATTTCACTCTTTTTAGTAGGGGAGAAATAAGATTTTCTTGTTTGTAAGTTTGATCTCTTTTCTCTCAGGGCTTTGGCAGACACAAGGCAGATGGGAAAGCTCAGCAAAGACCAGTTTGCACTTGCCATGTATCTCATTCAACAGAAAGTCAGCAAAGGGATTGATCCTCCACAAGTGTTAACCCCAGATATGATCCCTCCCACGGAGAGGAACACTCCCATCCAGGTAAATCAGGGATTATCAGTAGATAACACTGAATTTAGGTGCTTTGTGTGTTAATTTTATACTTCTTTAATGTTATAGTAAAGAATTGTCAATTTGTTTTTGTTATCTCCTCTTATAAAATTCTTTAACATTTGAAAACAGACAATTTGATCTCCTCTCATAAAATTCTTTAACATTTGAAAACAGACATAAATTTTTAAACAACCATGACAATAAGAAAAATGCAGTAGAATATTCCATATATAAAGGAGGAATGATACTGGGAAAAGCCTAGCATGGAAAATCCTCCTTTGTCCTAGAGAAGATTGAAGGTTTAACTGCAGGGAGCTGTGTTCAGCAGCTGGTAGAAATCTCCTCTCATAAAATTCTTTAACATTTGAAAACAGACATAAATTTTTAAACAACCATGACAATAAGAAAAATGCAGTAGAATATTCCATATATAAAGGAGGAATGATACTGGGAAAAGCCTAGCATGGAAAATCCTCCTTTGTCCTAGAGAAGATTGAAGGTTTAACTGCAGGGAGCTGTGTTCAGCAGCTGGTAGAAGCTGGTTGAGTAACCTGTCCCTGGCTGTGATCAACACCAAATTCCTCCATGGAAATGGCTAAAGGAAGAGTGAGGACTCCCTAATTTCTGGGATTCATCCCTTGTAGAATCCTTTCTCTATCACTGCTAATACCACTTTCCTGGAGCATCTGATCCTTTGCTGCTTTGTCCCTTTCCTGTGTCATTGTGTTTCTGAACCTGAAATGAGTAAACTCTTCTGTCCTGTCAATACCTTCATCTTTTTTAGACGTTTGTTTTTTCTTGTTTGACTTGCCCTAACCAGAAACCTTTGGAGCTCTAAATCTATTTGAATTGTTGCTGTTGCTGTGGTCCTTTTAAGGTGTTTCCTGTATCCTTTTTCTGTAGACTCTGTCAGGTTACTTGACCCCTGTAGGATCTGAGATCTCAGCACTAACAGAAATGCGTCGCGTGAGTAACTGCAACATCCAAAGGATTCACATTTTTCATGTTTGCTACTTGTAACCTCAAAAAAAGAGCTTTTATTCCTTCCCCTTTGCCTGTCTCCTTGCTCTTGAGTACTGTCTCACTTGCCCTTGGCATGAAGATGGTGTCCCAGGGGTGGGAAGTGCTCAGCACTGACTGCTGACCTGGTGATGTTGCTTCCTTCAACCATCTGAGATGTGTTGTCTGTCAGGAGGTTCTGGGACAGACAGCTCAGTGCTGGCACCTGGAAGTCACTCGTGGTTCTCTGAAGCTGTGGGCACTAAATACATCTTGGTGTGAGAGCTTTGAGCTTGCCATTATTTTCAGTTCTTTGCATTGTTTTCCATTTGCTGTGGGTTGAGCTGAATAGAACATGAAATAAACTGTGTGCTACTGTGAGCACAGTAGGTATCTCTGAGCCTAACCAATGTAGCAGCTCATTTTGGCTTGTTTCATAGTGACTTTGGGTGACACCTTGCTGTGATCCTGCCCAGCATTCAGCACAGGTCTCTCAGCAAAGCTCTGTCTGGCCTGACTATAGAAAAATACCTGTATGAAATCAGAAGCTTTTGTTTTGCCACCTTGAAGATTTGGTCTCTATTTATTTACTTAATGGCATATGAACAAAAGAAATGCTCAGGACTTTAAATTATTTAAACTCTATATTCACCTCTTATTTCTACAAGAAAAAAAAAGTCATATTTTACTCTGCTGATCTTGGTTTATTGGTTGGGTTGGGTTCTGGTTTTTATGTTGAATAAAGCCAAACTCTTTTTATCCCAGCAATCTCCAAGATCTTGGTTTATTGGTTGGGTTCCTGTTTGGTTTTTATGTTGAATAAAGCCAAACTCTTTTTATCCCAGCAATCTCCAAGGGAGTGAAGCCAGCAAATTGCTCTTTTGTTTTGGAAATGCTGTTTAAGAGCTGTAAGTCTCCTGTCTGGTCACACCACCAGGAACTTCAGTGCTGCAGTTTTTGTTAAGCTGTAGGTCTCCTGGCTGGTCACACCAGCAGGAACTTCAGTGCTGCAGTTTTTGTTCAAAGTTTTCTCAAAGAACTAGCAATGCTTTTTATACTAATGACAAATTTTGTACCTTATGCTGAGGTCTTAGTAACTTCAGAGAGTGATTTTCCTGCCTAAAAGGTATAGGATGCCCTCTGCATCTGCCTTGATCTGCACCTCAGTGAGTGTAGGAATGGCCTTTGTAATTGCAGAAGTTGCTATTAATTTGTGGCAGGGTTCAAACAGTCTGAAATGACAATCTGATTTCATCCAGTTCCCTGGAAACTTTGCTATTGACCATAGCAGAGCTGGTTTTAGGTTTGGGATTTGAATTCTGCCACAGGCTGCAGTTTATTCATTGACATTGTGCATGTCCTGTCACTGCTGTGTGTCCAACTGTCCTGTCTGTTAAAGGGGCACAGAGGAAATTCTCCTGGCTCAGGTGGAACTGTCTGGCATGTTCCCTGCTTGTTGCAGAGTCATTGGGTGACTGATCAAATTTTGCAAGTCCATGTAATGAGGATTTTCTACCCCCCTTTGACCTTTGGGAAGGAAGAGCTTCTGTTACAACTTGCCGTTTTAATAGCTTGTTTCATTCTTAACAGGACAGTGCAAGTTCTGTTGGATCAGGAGAATTCACAGGGGTGAAGGAGCTGGATGATATTAGTCAAGAAATTGCACAGCTGCAGAGGTAACTGTTGTGGCCTGTTAAAATCTTGGTGTGAAATAACCAAATGAGTCTGTAGTACTGATGTGTCAGTTCCTTTTGTTTTCTTTTAGTCCCTTTATCATTCTTTGTCACTGAAATTGGTGGCAAAGCTCCCACTGATACCCAACAGTGGTTCAAGGGCAGCTTGGATTCCACCAGGAGTTTGATTCTGGGCACAGATAATATTTTGCAAAGCATAATTGGTACTTACACAGCTTTATCCTTTAAGGACTGTCTGAGAATGTGGGTTGGCACTTTGGGCTGTGTGCTGTTCCCAGAGTAATATTTGATTTGTATGTTGGGTGATTTAACTAATCACAAATACGTGTGTTTCTTTATCTGACAGAGAGAAATATTCCCTAGTGTTGGGTGATTTAACTGATCACAAATACGTGTGTTTGTTTATCTGACAGAGAGAAATATTCCCTAGAACAGGACATTAGGGAAAAGGAAGAATCAATCAGACAGAAAACCAATGAAGTTCAGGTAAAAACTCTGTTTATCATGATTAGTTTTGATTTGAATATGAAGTAATATCTGGGGAATTAAACATCCTTTCTTCCCTCTTTCCTGATATTGCTTCAGGGCAAGTCCTTCTTTCCTCCTTTAATGAGATTTCCCCCTGACTTACCAAAGAATTTTACTTTACTGTTCTCTGTCAGAAATGTTTTCATCTGATGCAGCTTAATATAAACAGAAGATGATACATGAACAGTTTGAAATGTGCTGTTAGTGCTTAACTAAAACTGCAGTTTAGGAAATCATTGTTCAAAGAGTATTGGGTTTGATAATCAGGTTAGCTCAGTGCCATGTGCTCTTTCACAGTCTCTTCCCATTCTGTGGGCACTGATTTCTTCTCTGATGCCTCATTCAGGTTCCTGCAGGAACAAACCCCAGAGGAGTAGGGAGTAGCCTAGATGATGTAGAAGATATTTTGGGTTTTGCTGCCCTGTTCATCTGTGGCTTATCATTTGTTGGAGTAAGGCCAGAGGAGGCCACAAAGTTGATAAGAGGATTGGAGCATCTCCTCCATGAAGACAGGCTGAGAGAGTTGGGGCTGTTCAGCCTGGAGAAGAGAAGGTTGTGTGGAGACCTCAGAGCACCTTCCAGGAGCTGAAGGGACTCCAGGGAAGCTGCAGAGGGATCT